CTTAGTCTGAAACAAAGAGTTGTCTGATTTCCGTGTTCTCACATTCAATATCCCCAGTTGCTGATTATTAACTTTTGCATAAGTTTAAAAATGCAGTTTGTTTGTCAAGTGTGGTTAGGCATGTCTTATCAATATTCCTGAACATTTACTGTTTGACAAGGTTAACAGTTGAGTGTATGCAGTATTAATTTTATCCATAAAACCAGTAGTGCAGACTTTTATTGGTACTTTTTCAAATAATGGAGCACTCAGTTTTACCAAAAAATTTACCCCAAATTAAACTACAGCTTTATACTTTAATGCTCCGTGACTTGTTTAAAATACGAAAGGACTGGTTTTCTTTCATGTCAGTGTAAGATGACTACAAATCTTTTACAGTTCGCAAAAGGTGAGTCTCAGCAGCACAGATTGTCACGTTAGGAGCTCGCAGTGCCTCAAGGGTGAAGCATTTGTGCTTCTAGGCATATTACACAAACGTTAATGTATTAACAAACATTTGGTTAAAGAAATAGGGATTAAATATAAAAAATAAACATTGCTCAGATTTGCAGATTGTATTTAATGGCAGTATATGTTTACCTTAAAAATGTTATTTATAATGTGCATTGGGTTCTGCCTTTGTTTTTATTTTCTTTAGATTTTAATTTCTAAGGACTGACAGGTGTCGGTAGGAAAGATCGGTTTGATTCTAGTTAGTGGGGTATTCTGCAATGGACTGTCATCCTGTCCAGGGTGTACCCTGCCTTTGTTCTGGGATAGTCTCCGACTCCCCCACGACCCCGAACTGGACAAAGAGATTAGAAAATTGATGGCTAGTTGCATATTAATGAAGTGAAGTCCCCATGAAGACTGGGGTTTTGAAGGACAGATGTTGGAGCTCAGTGCCAGAAATTAATATGATAAGTAAAAAACAATGCAGGAATGAGATTGAAAGCAGGTTGTGTAGCTTCAGGATTTCAGCGTTCAGGATGTGAAAAATATGAACTACGTTTTTAACCCACTACCCAATGTCTGGGCTCTTAATTAATATGTAGTTTGTGTAAAGATGATTCAGTCTGAGCACCACTATTGATCTGACCATTCTCTCTATGGTCTCATAATGACTGGCTTTGTACTTGTACTTTTGGCTTTCACTGTTGCAAGAGAGAAATAATATTAACAGCAGAGTATAGTGTTCTGTTTAAGGCAGCATAGCCATAAAGCAAACCTGGATCCTGTGTTTTATTTTTGGCTAGGGTGAATTACTGTGTCTAGTATACATATTCTCTCATGTTCGTGTAGCTCTGTGTTCAGATTGGGTTTTCTAAAGGCATTGTTGTAGGTTCACTGGATGTTACATCGCCCGTTTCAAGAGAAACAAGAACTGGATGCTCTCCTCACTGGTCCCACTCCGTCAGGAGTAGCTCTGCAAGAAAGCCACTGCCAAGGTGGATTTAAAATCCTTACAAACATGTTTACTAGATCTATGTTGTCAGATTCATGAATGACAACTCCACACGTTTTTCATTCAAATACTTCTCCTGCAGTGCTCCCTGACACACAAGTCAATAGAGAATATGTCATCCCAGATCAGTGCAATAGGGGGATTTTTTTTTACTTCTTACACTTTATGATTTTTGACATATATGTAATGTATGAAAATGTTTAAAATTCTCCAGAAAGCTGTTACATTGACAAGCACAGTGATTAAAAATAACAATAAATAGTAATGTTTTAACCACTATGATATGTATAAACTCTTTAAGGGTTTAGATACTTAGCACAGTCTCTTTTAAAGATATCAGTATATTCCACGAAAGCCCCAACTCATATGTCTATTTCTGTGTTTTGAATTTCAGGAATGTTTTCCAACAGGGCTACTAACCAAACACTGCCTGCTTGCCTTTGGTTGAATTGATGTAAATGGGGTGGTAGTCTAAAAATATAAGCTATTCCTTGACAACAACATCTTTAAGGCATTAGCCTTTACTGTGGTGTAGAGAAAACATCAGATAACGATGAGAATGTCCAACTCTGACAAAACCAAAGGAACTAAACCGTTATAGTCTTGAACAGAAAAGATGAATTTTCAAAATCCTTGATGAAAACCCAGCAGACTTCTTCATAATAAGCAATGAAACACGAATCAGAGGACACCAGTGGAAACAACTTTAATATACAGTTTAAACTGAGAACAGGGGACACTTCACTACTCAAAGGGTTGTAAGAGCATGGAACAAGCTGCCCAGTCATGTTGTTGAAACCTATAACCTGGTTTTCCTTAAGAAACGGTTGATTAAGATCTTTGGATACTGTCCCGATTTATACCAAATACCAGGCAAAACCTCCCACCAACTCTTCTTTACAAACAAACCTGTGCTGAAGATTAATTTGAAAGTCTTAGAATCCTGCCCCCAGGTGCTGGGATCAGGGGGACATGCATCACAACATCATACAGTGTTCGGGTAACCCCTTTACCCGTTTCTTCGCCTTAAACCTCTCTCCACTGGATCTCACTAGAAGACTTCTAACACTCATTTAGGCTCAGTCCCAGCACAACCACTACTGACTACAGAGAAATAGAATCAGATAAACTTAATGGTCCAAATGGTATCTTCCCATCTGTGGCTTTTCTGGTGCTCTGATTCTTGCTCAAGGCACAATTTTGCAAAGACAAAACTTTCGGGATGTGGTCCTTTATAAAAGCCATTTTCCATTATCTGGAAGCTGAAATTAATAAATACATGTTCTGCTCACCCCCGACTGGAAAGCATTTTTAAAGTTTTGCCTGGTGTATGTTTAAACATTTCAAGTAGCCTTTTTGGTTCAAGATCTTAAATATAGATTCAATATTTATGTGTATTTAATTTCAGAAGCATGTTTGAAAAATTGATCTGTTGAGAACAGAGCTCACTAAAGAAGCATGATGATTTTTTCTTGTTTTTTGGAGGTTTTTCATTTGTTTTGGGTCCTTAGGGAGAAAAGTATGCAGTGAAAGAGAGCTCACAACATGAGATAAAGTTACAGCTCTTTTTAGATGACACAATAGTTGCAACTGGTTCTACCTGACAGAGGTCATGAATAAATAAAGCAGCATTCCAATTCAGACCCGAGTCCTATCAATAGACAGAATAGAGAAGAATAGAAGACCTGGCAGCAAAAGTCAGTGTAAACGGAATACCTGAATATGGAGGGTGAATTTTACTTTATTACACCACCTCAGCATGCTTCTGTGTGCTTTTTGTAAGTATTGGATTTTTGAATTGCCACCTGCACCACTGCTTAATTTATTGAATTCTTCAGTTTTCTCTGTCAAATTTGAAAATAAAATGTAATATGGCTATTTCTAGAAGGCAAGGCAGCTGCTGGACAGAAAAAAATCGAATTTTGTATTTATTCTTTATTCTGTTCCACCAGATGCAAGTGACTGTAAACATACAGTTTTGGAACATTTGAACAGGGAATGAAAAAAAAAGTTAAAGCATGCTATTTAAAAGCAGCTTGATATTTGTCGTGGAACTAACCTTTTTGTGGTTTCCCCGTTATCATATTTTAATTATAGGCAAGAATGCCAGTACTTTTATCATCAGGATATTTATTATTAACAAACTGATAAAATGTTGTGGTATAAAAAAAGACTATACAGTAGGATTAAGCTGAATGGGTTGTATTGATTTAAAACTCGGAAGAAGCCAAACAAAGAACAAAGAACAAAATAGAATCATTGACTCCGTTTATAAACAATACAAACACAGACAGTAATACTAAAAAAATCTCACAGCTGGAGTTTGAGTGCAACCTGTAGTGTGACATTATAATCACATGTTTTCCTTTTGCCTGACTTTATAACCCCTGCTGATCTCCAGCAAACAATGCTTTATCAGCAACATGAACTAAACTGGGATTTCTTAGATGTTATTTATTTTGCACCTAAACCGAATCTTTTTTTCTTTTTTTGCTGTTTAAATTAATTGCTCTCATTTCACCACTGACGGCCATGACCACTCTAATCTTTCCTGTGTTCTCAAAGACGGTTTTCCGAACTCATACATCAGAAAGACTACCGAAACCAAAATTATTCTGCAGCTAGGATCACACCTTCTCCCTTCTCTTAACGACTGACTACTTTTCTTCTAAATTCTCTCTATTCGTTGTAGGTTTCATTTCACTCCTCTCTACACCTATCCTGACTTCACACCTCTTGATTGGCCTCTCTTTCTGTCCCCTGCTCCCACCTCTCGCTCCTCCTCTCTCCCAGCTTTTGTTCTCCCACTACATTACCTTTGCCTACTGCCTTGTCTCTCTCACACCTGAAGAAGGCTCCATGGCCGAAACGTTGTTTTCTTTCTTCTTTTTTTCAGCATGGAATAAACCTATTACTTGTTCCTTTGCAGCCTACACATGCTGACGCAGCTACCCAACCTGAACTATCACAAAGCCATGTTCACCAGTGGTCACATATAATAAGTGGGTTCAAAGAATTAAGAAGCTTGTCTTTTCACCTATCCCCCAGCTTGTTTAATACTCTATGGGAAGTAAACAGTGTCGATAGAAGTCTCTTTGTAGCAATAAAGATTTACAGTATAGTAACTGAGGCGACAATTGAATATAAATAGGACTTACAAGTACTTCCCATTGCAAATAGTTTCTTTCTTGTGTTTCTTTGGTGCTGGATTCTACAAGAATATAAAGAGACTGTTTATATACTGTTTATATAACATTTATATAAATGTTTTCCAGGAAAATTGTTTAAAAGTTGCTGTTTTTTATTACAATTGGCTCATAAACCATTGTGCAGATAACACCATATGTTTTTGCATGTGAATAACCCCAATTACGGTAGCTTTATTGCCTTAGTTATCAAGTTTGTTTGTTGAAATATGTTCAGGATGAGCCATGGTTGGGTAGATAAACACGATCATAAACCTTCTCCACAGGACCATGGGTGGGTGGATCACCTTGCTTTTGGTACTGAAAAAGTTCAAGAGCTCACTCCTCATTTTTCTTTTTTTGTCCCCCAGCAGCTGAAAAATGAGGCTCAGCTCCCGCAGCTCCCAGCTGAAACAGTAAAAAAAGTTCATGGGGTCCAGCTTTTAGGAGAAAAGAGCAGAGCCTTTAAGTCTGAAGCAGCAGATCTGAACCAAGAGAGGAAACAATATAAATTACTGGTGAGTCATTTCAAATTGTTTTAATCTTATATTTTAAGTATAGTTGGGCTTTCATGGTCAGTGCTCTTCAAACTGAACAGTTGCTTTGGTTTTGTTGAAACAGCAGTTTCATAACTTGTGAAAAGTGCCACAGTACTGTGTTTGTATTTTGGATTGTGTTCGATTTGTAAATCTGAATGGTGCTGCCTGAAGAATATCAAATAAAAAGACGTCGGAGATCTGCAAGAATTTTAATTGCTAGAAAGATCAAAATGGGTTTCAAACCTTTACATCCGTGTAGGAGGTGACAGCATTTTGGAAGTCAAGGGTTGCCTTTTGACAGTTAATGAAAAAGATAACCAGTTGCAAAATGAAAGGTGCTGTTTCGTAAGGGTATACAGAGCGGGGATAACGCATAACAAGCCTTTGAGACTAATGTATTCCTCAGCTCTGTGGGCTATAGTAAGTCTAAAAAAACCTAAGAGGATATTCTAGAAATACAGTAGAATGCTATTTAAAAGCTTAATGTATTTTCATATTTGGTAGTACTATTGTACTGTAGAACCATTTGTCTACTATTAGTACAGAGTGATTTCCACAAATCACTTGTAGTAACAGCAGATCTTCACCTGTCGCTTCTATGAGAAGCATAAATGTACAGTATATACTTTTACTCCAGCTAAATGTTTTTCTTAATATGGGCTTCACTCTTGTCCTAGGTATGTTACTGAGCAGTGATCAAGCAATGCAGTAAAGCAGTAGAAACATCAGACAAGCAAGTTCTTTATAATCCTCATAACAGTAGCGTTCTACCACTCTAGCCTGATCCTGTCAAATCCCAGAAGCCAAGGAAGGTTGTGGCTGGACAGGACTTTGATGGGGGCAGTCAGGTTGCTGGTTCAAGGCCCTGTAGGTGACTCTTGTCTCTCTGGACCACAGTTTCCAGACCAGTGCCCCCATGGGGTGATCAGAGAACTGGTGCTGTAGGCAGTGGAAACATCTGGACAAGACATGAACTTGAAGTCCTGCCTGCTTGGTCTTTAAAGATCCAAAAGGAGTTTGATTCCTTATGTCCTGGCTTCTCCGTAATTCACCTTGTAAAGGAACATCTCTTTCCACAATCAGCTGCGCACTGGGGTTGCTGGCACAGAATGGCTGCCACACTTCCTCCTGGTGGGTGTGCCCTTCAATGGAAGATGAGATGGATCCTTTCTGATGTGTAAATAACTTTGGGATCCTTTGGGATGCAATCTCTGTAGAAGTGCAGTTCATTACATTTGACTAATTACTGTTTTCTAGCATTTTATATGAAGGGAAGCTCCTCAAAAGCAATGATGTACTGCATTGTCCAGTGTGTGCTCTAATAGTTCAAATATTTTGTTTATGTTAAGATCTTTAATTCAATCATCTGTACATCTGAGCAATGTGCTTAATAGTCTTTGTAGTCAAGTACTACTTGGAAATCTAGGAAAGTCTTCAGAATGCATGGCATATGTCAGCCCCTCTTCTTTCTGCTATATAGGAGTCTGTCTTACTGTAGAACTCCCTGAGAATCTTAATTCTCCCATTAGTACTTTTAAATGAGTGCAGCCAAGTTCTGATTATGAGACAATTATCATCCTCTCCCATAATACCAAGCAGTGAGGGCTCTTCCTCTGTCCAGTTTGGTAGAGAAAGATATTGACTAGGAATGAAATTCTCAGCTCTGCCTGACAGCTTAAGCAAAGAGCAGAGAGAACACTAGTAAGTAAAATGCATGTGTTTAATTTAATTTACAGTCCTTGTCTTGTCATTTCACAGTGCTATTCTTTTGCAGTATGCTATTAATGTCATTTAATGATGGACTGCATCATACTCCTTTGAGTATGTCTATTATACTCAAAATGAAGGGAAAATGCCTATTCTTCCTCCATCATGTAATAAAATAGGGGTAGATCTGTTTTATATCATTCGTGTTTTGTTTTTTTGTTTTTCAGAAGGGTGTATTAAGGTTAAACACCCGTATAGTTGAGCTATAAGCAAAGCAAGCTTCAGCAGTTTACTATACCCTGTTCTCAGGCAATATGCATCTGTGGTTGTGATCCACTAAATATTGTTATGCCTTCAGTTACTAACTGCAAAAAAAGTCAGTCGCACTATATCAAACAAAATGATCTCCTGTTCTTTTAAAATCATATTATATTTTATGTTCATAAAAAACAAGACTAAAACATTTTGCCATAGTCTTTATGTTATGTTTACCAGCTATTTTTCTTGCTAAATAAGGCAGTAACTGCACAGCTAAAATGCCACCAGTGGAGATGTATTGGTGAGCCTATAGTGTAAATGGGGTATTTTACTCTTGGGTGGTATATGTTTCAGCACAATAGAAAAAATAGTATTGTTTGTTCAGTTACATTTTTCATGCTGAACAGGCAAATGTGTGATAATTTTCCAGCTGTTTGCCTGTGATTTAACAGGATACACCTGGAACCTTGAAAAAAAATACTCCAGTTTATCATATTCTAGGAAAAAAGAGGTGTGTACATTTTTCTTCGGTTCTTGGTTTATCCCAGGTAGCCTTGTCTAAAAACATTTCCTCTTCCAGGTGAAGAGGGAACTGGCAAATACTCTGGCAGGAAATGTAGTGAAGTTTGCTTTTGATACATTATTTGGATGCCATTAGATGCCATTAGAGTTGCTCAGGGAATAGGTTTGGCCTTGGAGTAGCAACCTCAGCCCATGGGCAAGGCTCTGTCATAATTTTACTTCTTTGTGAGTATAATTGTCCCATATGTATACAACAGTATTCTATCTGGTAAAGTCAAGGTTTAAACAGTTAAACAGATATTTCATTTTCTGGGTGGTGGGAGAATTGAATCCAAAATGATTCTATCATTCTCTGTGCATTCTGTGCAAAAAATAAATTACTGAAAAAAGGCAAAAATGTACAATTATTTGTCTTATCAAAGTTTTCCTCTTAATCAGTAGTTCCCAACCATAATCCTGGAGGTCCAGCTAAGCTCCTAAATTCTCAGAGCCAATTCATGATTAATTGCTTAGCTTGCTTAGACTTTTATTGAACTTGTTTCTTCAGTAATTCAGTGATAGAGTGTCAAAAATATCCTATTTAAGAGTACTGTTTCTAACAACTTCAGCATACAGTCTCTGATGCAGTCTCTCCACAATTTGTCAGCCATTATTTCTGACTAAAAAGCTCTTGATGGTTGGCCAATTGATGATGAACAGACACGGGTGGGAATGACACTGCAACAGATGCACCCACAGTGAGCTCTTTATCCTTCCTTTCGTAAGAGGTTCAGTTGGGTTCAGTACAGGCAGCGCACTTGACTGACGGGAGTTCTGAAACTCAGAAACTGATAGTGTCAATTACCCAGATCTTTTAAGAGCCAAAAGGAAATTTACTTTGCTGGAGCAAATACCAGAATAACAGAACTACTGCTCTATACTCTTATGTCTGTTTCTCGATCGTTCTATTTTGCCTACCTAGCTGAAAGTTTCAGAACAATGTTTTGGAAAAGACATTATTTTTGGATGTTAGCAAAACAATGACAGACTGAAAAATAATGAGTTGTCATACTGCATCAGTTTAACCTAACAGAGTAATATTTCCTTTGTTTGTTCCATTACTCATAATGTGACAACACGGGTACAGAAGAGTATGCTACAAAGCTGTAACGTTTTACCTGTTAGTTGCTAGGAGACCATGACATGGCAAATGTGATTGTTCCAATGTCATTAAGTTGTGCTGTTTTGCAGTGTGTGCAGTAAACAGATCAGTGTTTTGTTTTTAAAAAAGATCAATTGCATGCACCTGATAAAGGGTCTAGCAGAATTATAATGACATCCTCACCTGACAGTGCAGCATTGTTTTAGGTAACCGTTGGAACTGTTGTCATAGTAACAGCAATAACCAACATGCTTGTGTGTTAAGAAGAATGAAGTAACAATAGAAAATTGACAGACTACAATGTTTTTTTCTTTTATAAAATATAATTGTTTTTTTTATATTTTTTGCATATTATAATATTAATGACCCAGATTAATATTGTTTTAATTATGTATTTATTCCAAAGATGCACACAGATCTCTGTAATATATAAGTAACCATACAGGTCAATCCATCTTTCTTAAATACTTTTAAAGTATTTCCCCTAATGTTTTCCCCTTGTGTTTTGAATTATGTTTCCTATTCAATTACAATAGACTGCTTGATTAATAAAAAACCATAGTAGTATGGACAAATGTCTTTGATGGGCCCACTAAAATATTGTTTTTTTGTATTAGATCATTTACTTACATATATTTATTTAGGTGAGTTTGTTTTAGAAAATGTCTTCATATCTGAATTTTTAAAGTCAGAATTTCAGCAGTGAGAAAGAGAGCTCAATATCTGTAAAGTTTGCAGTGCAGTTAACCATTTTCTTGTTGCAGCAATCAACCTACAGTCTTAACCGAAAAACCCAGCAAAAGAACTCCAACAGCAAGTAAAAAATATGATATTCAACATAATGCAATTTTTTCTTATAAAGGTTTTTTTAACTGGGATACTCCCTTTAGGTTGCCTATATTAGACAAATAAATATTATTTGTCTGTTTCAGGAAGTCTAAAGGCTTTATTCTTAATACTATATTTCTATGCTACAATATCTTAAAATACAAAGCATTTAACACAGTTATTTCACGTGTCTGGGTGGTGGGAGAAATGCAACCGAAATGATTCTATCATGCTCTGTGCATTCTGCTCAGCATTCTGGGTTTGTGCCTGTAAGTCATGCAAAATAGTTAAACCATCATTAAAGCTACCAGGCTGCTGAAGCTGTGAGTAAAATGCTAAGCTGATGATGGACTCATCTGCAGGCCAGCTGTGCTACAGAACAGTGACCTTCAAAATCAGTGGTCCTGTGAGAGATAAAATCCTGAAGGAAAACAGTTAGTCGTGCAGACCAGTGTCCCTTTCATTGTCTGTACTGTGCCTGTTTTGTATAAAAAATGCAGCAAAGAATAATTCTATCATCTACAGTTCATAACTACTGTGCAAAACAAGCATGAATGGGTGGTTTTGTTTTTATTAATATTTTCTGCAGCGTCACAGTGTTCATCTCATGAGAGCTGAAAATTAATGAAAATAATGCAAAAGAAGAGAATTATGGATGACAGCTGGCAAAAATGCATCATGTTCATTTTTAATTAGCTCTTAAGAAGTATTGCAAAGCACAAGACGAATACAGAATCAATTTTCCTTCTTTACTAACCTTTGTCTGTGTATAATTAAACATCAGGATCAATTCAAAAACTGTTACCTGCCTCTATTATGTATAATTTTATTATGCATAATTATGACTTGCATGTAATACATAGAACCTTTTTCAATGGTAGAACACAAAACAAGTTCTGCTTTCCTGGTTTGTCAAAGCTTCAGGGTCTATATGCTGTCTGTCTGAACTATCCTGCGGTAATAATTATTTAGCTCAAATTATTTTGTGTTTTTAAGCAGAACAGTTTAAAGAAAGAACTTAGGCTATGCATGTGCTCAAGCCATGTGAGGAGGCTTGTTTTGTTATTCGAATTAGGGACTGCAGTGTAGAGTACTGGTTACGGTTTTGCACTTGGACGTTTTTTCCTATCTCTATCCCCCCATCTTTGGAGGACAACATTTGTTTTGATACTATCTCTCTCTCTCTCTCAAAATTTCTCTTACAATATTTTTGTGTCTCTGGTGCCATTCAAGCAAGCCTCTAATGGGTCCCATACATGTTTAAATTCATTAATTTGCACCTCCAAGGCAAGGGAAAGTTTACCTATTTAATCTGTAACACAGCTTCATTAATCATGTCTGTGTGTGTTGGTCCTAGGGTATTCAACAGGTTTCGCAGAATTATTTTTTGGCAATAATATGGATACAGAGTTGATATTTTAAACCTTGATAAATCTCAAAGTGTAAGGATGCAAGGAGTCACAGTGCAGTTCAGTGAAGATTTTAGATGAGCTTTCATTTGTGACAGAAAAATGCCATTTCCAGAGGGCACTGGGGGAAGATGCACAAAAGGTGCATGCTCCACAGAGTCCTGAATTCCAGCAGTCTTACAGGGAGTACATTACATTCCAGCTACAGTCATGGTCACCCTACAGTACATTATTATCATGTGTGGGTGATACTTCCATATTGGAATCATAGAAAATACTTCCACTTATGGCACAGTGGCTGTTTCTGATCATGTTATTACCACCTTTCAGTTATTCCTGGGATGTCACGTACAACAGTTATTTCTGACCAGTCTTAGACAGCAGGTTTCTGTTTAAAATGCACTCCACTCAAGCCAGAATACAAGTAATAGGAGGAGTTAAAGGAATTGAAATAATTTAGTATTTGAGTGGTGGTCCAAATGGACTAAATGTCTTGACAATCCCTTAGTAAACATATTAATGATCGATCAAATAAATTACATTTTACATAGATCCCAGGCACTGCTGTTGAGCCAGGTACTTCACCCCACATATCAGGCTATTTGATCAGCACAGTAGTGATCAAAATGTTTAATCCTGCAACACTTTCTTTCTTATGCAAATGTTATAGCATTTTAAACCCAAAATTAAGACAAAATACTGATGCAGCAAAAAAATGATTTCCCCTAAAGGGTTTATCTATTTTTATTACTTCTCTTGAAATACCTTGTCTAATCATTTTCATATTCATATTGCACATAATTTGAAATGCATGAAGGCAGCATTTGTAAAATGTGTTTAGTGGAAGGAGTGTCATTAAAGCAAAGACTGCATTGTCAGACGAGGCTGTTTCCACATGTACAACATTAAGAGCAGCTGTGCAATCAAATTGCCACATGCAAGCCTCCATCAGATAATGTTTACATCTTTTTAATGGAATTAGACCAGTTCGGCATCCACACCACTTGGTTTTTGCAGCTTAAATAATTTGATTATCCCTTGTTTTAATGTGTTGAACGGATTGCTGGCTCCCGACAAGCATTTTTCAAAACTGAATATAGTTGTATCATCACAAGGCAAGCAGCAGTCTCTGATTTTAGGAAGAGTTTGTGCACTTTAATATCATTTAGAAAATGAAATGCCATTGTGGCATTCATAACAAAGGGATAAGTTCAAGGTTCATAAATCCTGTGTAACCAACCCAGGTTTTGTCCAAGCAGGTCTATTTAAGGTTCTTGATAATGTGATTGTTGAAGGACCTCTGTAAACAATACTGAACCTCTTTCACTTTAAATGTACAGCAATGATTATCTTAACCAATCCAGGTGTGTCACCTTTGGTTTCTTTTTCAGCCTAATTTGAATGTGAGAAATTAACTTCATTATTTATTTGGAATTAAGTCATTTAATTCCAATGAAAAACAATGTAATTATCAACCAAATGGACTGTGCCAGATGATAAGTGAGTAAAAGGAAGTGAATCTTCCTGTGGGCTTTATCCAACAGTCTTTTAATTAGTATTACAGGTGCAAATTTCCATAATAACTTTTAAATCTGTAGTTAAACTTCTATGTAAAAGATTATGCCAACAATGTTAAACCTAGAATTTTGCTTAGTTTTCTGTGGCAAAATAGAATTTGTGAAGTGGCTGTTTTTTTCCAAACATTTTTCAAAATGGGAACCTAACAAGTATGACGCTTGATGTATTTGTAAAAACTTTGAGAAAGTAAAAGAAAGGATCAAATATTGATCACATACCTTATTCGTCCTTATAGAGCTCTTTTTTCTCAGACTAAGAACTTTCATTAAGCAGTAAACACTCTGGAGGTAAAATAAAATCTCTATATTGATAGCATTAGTGTTAATATGAATGTAAAAAGCGCCCCTATAAATTCAGATCCAAATTTAGTTTTTTTATGAATATAGATTCCACAGTTTTCCGTTATCATGAAGTGTGGGAACTGTACTAAGCAGTCATGGGGTTAATCTGTAGCTTTAATTCTATGCCAGCGGCCTTGATGCAATAGGGCTCTTTGATTTATATATTCATCCATATGCTAGAAATGTAGATATACAGTATGTATACTGACTACACAGTCTGTGTGTTTAAAACAAAATTCGGTGCCAGTGTATTATATGAAATAACAGCCCTGTTCAATCCCAGCCCACTAGCCAGCGGGGATAATAGAAGGACTTTGCTGCTGAGTACTCAGTGTCTTGGCAGCTGATTGCATTAGAAAGCCAGGGCAGCCTGGCTCTGTGGTGCCTTGGAACCAGTCAGTGCTTCACGAAGGATGCAGACTGTCTCAACACAAATCTGATTAAGTCATTAGCACGACACCTACAGAGACATCAAATATATCTCGAATTCAAAGCACAGCCTTTGCCATTCAAGACCAGAAGGGGCGGATGCGATGATGAACAAGGTTCTGAATCTGCAGTTTTTAGGGAAAGGAGGAAACAGTTTAGTATTTAGCATTCCCTCTTTCTGCTAATAAAATTTGATGCTTATGGGGTGAAGTGACTGCAAAGAAAAAAAAAGAGATTATATAAAGGGATGTGTGAAAAAAATGTTATTTATTAATAACCACCAACATACTTTATTAATGTGCGTTTAACTGTATGATTCACGTCTTAACTGCGGGGAGTTCTTTTACCCTCCATCAGTGTATACATTGATTATTAGCCTCTAAGGCTATGTCTCTAATTATGGCATGCATAATATTTTAAACATTCCCAGTCCTGAATGTTTAATTATATGGAACAACTGAAAATGTTAAAGTAAAGTACAAGACTATAAATACAGCTGATCTCAAATGCCAGCATTGTTCATATA